GCCATCCGCCGGGATCTTACCCCCTATTTGAAAACATTGGATTGAGCTGAGACATCCAGCACTCTGTCTTGCCTGATGAGACTTTACCACTTTCAGCCTGTGATGTCATGGTGTAAAGAGTGCTTGACCACTGTCATGCCACCACCTCCTCCCTTGACCCTTGCCTGGCCTGGCTAATCAAAGCAGCCAAGCCTATAACATCTGAATAGGCTATGAGAATAATTAATGGGTCTCTCCTGGAGGGCAAGGTTCCTCTTCCCCTCAAGGAGACACTCATTAGGTCCATTAGGAAGAAACAGAGCTTGGCGGTGGACGATATTGGTAATTATAGGCCCATTGCCAATGTTTCTTTCCTCAGTAAGGTAGTTGAGAGGGTGGTGGCTGATCAGCTGCAGGCTCTTCTCAATGAAACCAATGCCCTAGATCCATTCCAGTCGGGCTTCAGGCCATGTCAGGGCACCGAAACAGCATTGGTTGCCCTCTTTGATGACCTACAGAGGGAGGCCGACAGGGGCAAAATGTCTCTGCTGGTCCTCCTCAATATCTCAGCCGCTTTTGATACCGTCAACCATGGTATTCTCCTGGGGAGGCTCTCTGAGTTGGGAATCGGTGGCCTGGCTCTTGCCTGGCTCCGTTCCTTCTTGGAGGACCGTCCGCAGAGAGGGCAGATTGGAGTTTCTCGGCCCCATGGAGCCTCAATTGTGGGGTTCTGCAGGGCTCGCTTATCTCGCCCATGCTGTTTAACATCTATATGAGGCCGCTGGGAGGGGTCATCCGGGTTGTGGGGCTTCGTATCATCATTACACTGATGATACTCAGCTCTACATCTCCTTTTTTCTAACAACAATGGGTGTTGTAATTTGACAACTGTAATGCGCTCTACGTGGGGCTTGTTTGAGATGATGCTGAAACTTCAGATGGTACAAAATGCGGTGGCCAGACTTCTTACAGGGGTGAAAAGGTACCAGTGTATTTCCCCCACACTGGCCGTCTTGCATTGGCTGCCCATTTGTTTCCGTATTGATTTCAAAGTTCTTACAATTACATATAAAGCCCTAAAAGATTTAGGACCTCAATATCTGGCAGAGCGCTTTCTCCCACCCAGTTCTGCCAGAGTCACTTGTTCTAGCCAGGCTGGGCAGCTGAGGGGCCTAATGCCAAGGGAGGTATGGAAGGAAAGAATGAGGAACGGGGCCTTCTCGGCAGTGGGCCCTAGCCTTTGAAACAACTTTCTAGTGGAGATCCGCCTGGCTCCCTCTCTGGGTGTTTTTAGGAATAAACTTAAAACCTGGCTATTTGGGCAGCTTTCCCTCCTGCCATATTAATTTCTTATACTTCACCATCCTGGACCTATATGTTTTTTGTTTCATTGTTTTTAAATTTGTAAACTGTTCAGAGTAGACCTTGGTCTAGATGGGTGGGATAGAAATCCAATCCAATCAATCAATCAATCAATCAATCAATCAATCAATCAATCAATCAATCAATCAATCAATCAATCAATCAATCAATCAAATAAATAAAGAGGACTGGAGTAGGAACTCTGTCCATGCTCTGTTGCTGTTTGTGGAATAGTTGTAGGGTGGGCGCGCGGGTGTGCAGGCACTCCTGCGCATGTGTGAAGTGATGAGGGAACGCTCATGTGCCTATGGCGCATGCACTCCCCAACCACTTCGCGCGTGCATCGGAGAGAGCAAGTGCGAAGGGCCGCCCCACCTCCCTCAGAGATTCCCCTGGTCCACACTAGTAAAACAGTTGGGGAACACTGCACTATTGAACAGCTATTACTGTCAAGAAGTTCCTCCTAATATTTGGGCAACATCTCCTTTCTTGTGACATAAATTCATTGCTTTGGATCCTACCCTATATAGAGTGGTCGAAATGACTAGATAGGCGGGGTATAAATAAATAAATAAATAAATAAATAAATAAATAAATAAATATATAGCTATAGAGAACAGCTTTTTCCACATGACAGCTTTTCAAATATTTGGAGATAGCTATTGTATTGTCTCTCCATAATAAATAAATAAATAAATAAATAAAAAATATATAGCTATAGAGAACAGCTTTTTCCACATGACAGCTTTTCAAATATTTGGAGATAGCTATTGTATTGTCTCTCCATCTTTATTTCTACAGGCTAAGCATGCCCAGCTCCCTCAAATGTGTCTCATAGGACTTGGTTTCCAGATCTTTAATGAAGGTGTTGTTGAATCTTAATTCATGCCAAAAAAAGTCCGATTGTGCTTGTAACCCTTTGCATCTTCTGCCTGTAAAGCAGATTTGTGTTAATAGTTTAGTATGAATACAGTGATATCTTTTTGCCTTGCATGTCATTACTACAAACAGCTGTTTATACTAGACAAAAATGGATAATAGTTTGCCAGAGATGGTGATGACTAAGGCTACAGTTTGTAGCATCCAGCTATTTTACTAAGACAACATATGTCTGTTGTATCTGTGCTTATGCTACAAGACTGTACTACAAATAAGGGCTTGTCTACACTGGCTGTTTTGGAGTGGGCTGGTATGGACTAAACAGCATTGTCTGGGGTTGGCTGGAGGTGAAATATGGCATGATCCTCAAATTCAAATGACACTTCGGAGCTCAAGCAACCCTATTTGGTCCAGCTTTTTGCAATATCGAGAAGTGGCTTAATAAGCAAGCCACTTCATTATATTGGCAAACTGAACACTTCTTCTACTCCTTGGAGGAGAGGCAGGGGAAGTGAATTTTTTTTAAGACTCTTGTAGACTATTGCTGAGATGCTACATCACTTATAAAAAGAAAATAATAATAATATTTTCTTTGGTTTGTTTAAAAGGCCTTGTTCTGACAGGATGGGGTGATGCTCACCCTCGGTCCATGAGCAATTCCTCCTCATATCATGTTCCAAAATCTTCTCCCTAAAATGAAACAATTTATAACAAATAAAAGTAAGATCTTTTTTAAAATAACCACAAGCTGCTATCCAATGTATATTTGTTTTTTTTCCTGTAGGCATTCACTACATGTTCACCAGTGTCCTTCAAAAAAGTGGCTTAAAAGATACTAACAGAAGAATTTTCTGACTCCGCCCAGAAAGTAGAGGCATATGTGAGGTGTGTATATAGGCGTGGTATGTATGTATGAGTTCTTCCTTGTATATATTTTATTACATTACACTTCCATTGTTTCTTAATTGAAACATATAGCCTCAGAGTTTAATTCATAAATAAAATAGGGACACATGTATGTAGAGGATTCCAAGCTAGCAGTTGTGTAAGTTTTGTATGGTTCTAACATTGTGCTCATGTCAGTGTGTTTCAAATTATCCTGTATGAGAGGGACATTTACCTTAGAAAATGATTTTTTTTATCTGCCATTGTTGTGTTTCAGAGTGGGGGGACCCTACATTGTTGTGTTTCAAGAGTGGGGGGACCCTACAACAGTTAGCACTCTGAACATGCCCAGTCTCAGTTGATTTTGGAAGCTAAGTAGAGCCAGCTAGTACCTGGATGGAAGACCACCAGGTGCTTATAGGGAAGGAGACACATGGTGATAGCACCATTTGGGGGAAGTAGTATGGACACAGCATGATTCAGTTTGTACTATAGCTATTAAACATGAGACAATGACAGAAGGACTAGCTGTAACTTGGAGAAAATAGCCCCATGATGAAAAAGGGAGCCAGGTTCTGGGATTTCCCCTTGCTTGGTGTCTTTTTATGAATTGTAGTGAGCACAAGAGGAGGTCCTGTAGACCATCTTGACTACTGACACTGATGTTATCAACATTCAAGACTCATATGTAAAGCTTGGCATCCTTTTATTAAAACTGGCACAATATTGCAATGTAAAACCATTTCCTGGCATTTTCATTTGTCAGTGCAGAAGCAACATTCCAGTTCATAAACTGGAGGTTTTTGGGAGGATTGAATTTCCTGGCTTTTTAGATAGCTGCATGCAAGTGAACCTGCTTGCCAGCATACTCAGAAGAAGTCTGACCCTGAAGAATATTCAGTATATTCAGAAGAAGTTTTGCCATGTAACTTTATACTTGTGTCTGAAGAAGTAGACTCGTTCATGAAAGCTCACATTAAAACACAGTACAGTAGTTAGTCTTTAAGGTGGCACAACATTTTCTTTATATTTTGTTTTTGTTTTTGTTTCTGTCTTGTTTTGTTTCTTGCCTAATATGACTGAGTTGAATGACACTTATTCCTGTGGCAAGGCTGCTTTGCCCAGATGTTCTCTGTCTCTGTCTGTCTCTCTGTCTGTCTCTCTCTCTCTCTCTTGCTCATCTGCCTCTCCCCATATTGCTTTCTTTCTCTGTTGCTTCTGGCACTCTGTCTGTGTGGCTTCTCTCACTCTCTTGCCTGCTTGCCCCTTCCCCACTCTCATGGCTTCTCTGTGTGTTTATTCCTCTTTTAAGACTGACCCTTTGCGCAGAAGTAAGCCTCATTCACCTCAATGAGATTTCTTAATTTCATGAAGTACTAGCAGGAAGCGTGGGCAATTGTTATGGAATACTTTTGTAATAAGCAGCTGCAACCAAAGCATCTTTAAGGTCATGTTAATCTACTTGTCATTAACTTGAAATTTTTAAAAAGCACCTGGCAGAAATCATTTTCTTTTCAGAATGTAGTGGCAAACATTAAAAAGCACCTACCAGATTAGTAAAAAAAAAAAAAAAAAAAAAGTGGTAGTAAGATTAGTTGTAAGGGTTTTTGAAAACTCTGAGATTAAACATTTAAAAATATTTGACCAACCTTCTCAAAATTTGGCATGGAGAAGCCCATGTTGTTTTTAAATTCTCTGACAAGCATAGCATTAATTCAAATACCTGTTCAGAAGTTATAACTTGTTTGTTTGGGTTGCCCCCTCTTATCTGTAATCACTTACAGAATGCTGTTGACATTATAAGTGCATATCTTATGTTATGTGCCATCAAATCGGAACTGAATTATAGCAACCCTAACAGGGTATTCAAGGTGAGATCTTTAAAGAGTAGTTTTAACAGTTCCACTCCCCCAGTGAGCTTCCATGGCTGAGAGGAGATTCAAACCCTGACCTCCTGAGTCCATCTCTCTATCCATCATAACAAACTGGGTATCCCAAGTGCATCTACTCGTGTGCAGTTATAACGTAATCTTAGAGAGTACCTTCAAGGAATCTGTTCTGCTCATATCAATAGTTTGTAAGGCACTGGTCTATTTTATATTTGTTTCTTGATTGATGTACTCGTATGTGTATGAACATTCTGATACACAGTACGTACATATGCAACAGATATGGATCCAGACTTTGTATGTGTGTTCTTTGCCATCAAACTGGAACTGATATATAGTGACCCCAATAGGGCTTTCATGGTAAGTGAGATATTTAAGGAATGGTTTTTACCATTTCCACTCCCCCAGTGAGTTTCCATGGCTGAGAGGGGAATTGAATCCTAGTCCATCACTCTTTCCACTATACCACACTGGGAATCCAGACTTTAGTCATGTATAATTTTATGAAACCTCAACAGCAAATTTAAATAAATAAATAAATGCATGCATGCATACATGCATACATACATACATACATACATACATACATACATACATACATACATACATACATACATACATACATACATACATACATACATACATTTCTAAGGTGTAATTGAACATGATGTAAGAGATAAATACATTCTCTAGATCACTGGTTCTTAACCTTGGGTTACTCAGGAGTTTTGGACTGCAACTCCCAGAAGCCTTCACCACCAGTTGTGCTGACTGGGATTTCTGGGAGTTGCAGTTCAAAAGCATCTGAGTAACAAAGGTTAAGAACCACTGCTCTAGATCAATGCCACCTTCTGGATTTGACCCAGACTTAGTTTTACTTAACATAGACTGACTGAAATCAGAAGGACTGGCCACCTTCTGTATTTGACCCAGACTTAGTTATACTTGACATAGACTGACTGAAATCAGAAGGACTGAATGTAGTAATGAGCAACTTGCGGCCCATTTGTTTCAGTGGATCTCCTTCAGCTATACCTGTCTCAATCCATCTCAATGGATATTCATGCATGTATCAAAACTCCTAAGTGTAGAGCAGTAATGGGCAAAGCATGGTCCTCTGGATGCAACTGAACTTCAAGTTACAATATCACTTGCCACTGGCTATACTCACTGGGGCTTGTGGGACCTATAGTTTAACATCTGGAGAGCCACATGTTGTGAACTGTGACTTAGAGATATGTGTGCTGTGTCTGTTATAGTCGATGTTATAGTTTATTTAATGGATTTACATTCTGCTTCAATTGTTATTTCCAAGTTAACTCAAACAGAAAATAGAAGAGGTTATATATCAAATAAAACAACCAAAAACCTTCCTGGACAGCTCAGTGGTTTAGGCATAGGTTGTGAGTTCAGTTCCCCAGTGTGTTTCCTTGATGGGTGCTGGATTAAATGATCCATGAGGTCCCTTAAAGCTCTGCAGTTCTCAGGTTGTTATTGCTGCTGTTGTTGTTGTTGTTGTTGTTGCTGTTGTTGTTAAAAAATCCCTAGTACACGAGTTACAGGAAAACCAGATTTGTGGGCAGTGGTAATTATCTCCACATCTTTAGCTTTCTTAACTAGCCTGCTTTTTGTTTGTCACTCACAGCTCAGTCTCCAGCATATGTACCTGTCCTGAGGATTTGATTGTGCTAGTTGATCACCATATATTAGATTACTGAAGATGATTTATTGGAAGATGACCTATAACATTTATACTAAAGTCATCTGGGGCTCAGGATAACACATATTACTGGCATGCTTTGCTGGTAGTGAGGCACTCAGCTAAGTGATTGCCGGTAAGCCTCTACTGAGCTAAATAGCTTAGCACTTCAAATACAAGAAACTGGTTCAAGGGCCTGACAGTAACTATACAAGATGCTAGGCTTCAGGGCCTAACTACTTTTTATGTTGAATCTTCTCTGTGTTTAAGAGAGGCAAATCTTGCAAAATATATGTGGCGGTAGGAATCCTTTGAGATAGGGGCTGGTTTACACAAACATCCCACTGCTCTTCCTTTGATGCTTCAGCTATAGAATGTGTGAACTGATTCTACTGATGAGCAGTGCCTCTGAGTGGGAAGGTAACAGCGTTCCGTGTCGAGTTACGCTGGCCACGTGACCACGGAAACTGTCTATGGACAAACGCTGGCTTTACGGCTTGGAGACGGGCATAAGCACCGCACCCTAAGGTCAGACACAACTGGACTAAATGTCAAGGGGAACCTTTACCTAATACATTTGAACTGAATAACTTAAAGTAACAGTTGGCATTCCTATACAACTTCAGTTGGTGCAAGGGCTTGTATGAGTTAGTTGTATGGTGTTGCATGTGCTAATGTTCTTGTATAATAGTATTAATAATAAATATCATAGACATCAATATCTTTGTGCCAACAGCTCGAGACCCACCTTTTCAGACATCCTTTTAGTAATTAAGTCCTGCTGTGACAGGGTTCACTTATTCCTTTCGACAGTTCCTCATTTTGTAGATAAAATGACAAGAGTGGAGTTTCATTAAACAAATCTTTATTCATATAACTTGAACTTTTTTCCATAACTCTCAGGCAAACAGTCCAATTGAAGAGGCTTGGGATGGGTTACGTACTTCAACCCCGCGGGTAGACCAATACTGTCCGTTCCTCTGGATATAGACCCTCAATGATCGGTTTCACTCCTTTTCTTGTCGCTCACTTCCCGAACACAATCTCCTTTATTTCTGAGGTACTTTAAATACCTTCAGTTCACACCTTTCGTCTTCCTTCCAATCATCCTCAATTATTACTATCGTTTGCGTTTCCCCTTATTTTCCATCCTCCTCAGTCGTGAGGAAAACGTCCAACTCCCTTCGAATCCCCTCTCCTGACTCCTCCCCTTTCCCCCCACCTTTAACCCTCTGATCTCCTCCTCTGTCTCCATTTCAGACGGACTCTTCATCTGCTCACATCTGCATGCTGGTTTTTCACTTAGTAAGTTTTTTTCTCAAGTTTTTAATCACTTAAAGTATTTTAATTATTATTGCATAATTAACTGCTTTTTAATTGTGTAATTTTTTAAAAAAATACTTGTTTTACTG